ATTCTTCTATACAATGTAGCATCCACACTGAATTCTGACTGATTTTTCTTGAGAATGCAGCTGGTGGACATTAAAGTTTTGGCACTCTTAGCATTATACATTGAAATTCTTGACAGAAGATCTTGAGCATACCTTTCTTGAGACAGAAACATTCTTTTTTCAGACCTATGCATTTCATACCTAGAAAATGGTGGATCTCACCAAGATCTTTCAAAGGAAAATTTGCACTGAGCTGAGAAATGACATGTTAAATCTCTTGGTTATTGATTCATGTGACTAATATGTCATCCACATAAATTAGAATCAACACCATTGATTGTGAAGATTTCCTGAAGAACAAAGAATTATCTGCCTTAGAGCAACTGAAGTTCATTTTGCTGAGAGTGTCCTTTACTTTGAGAAACCAGGCTCTTGAAGCCTGTTTCAAGCCATAAATGGCTTTCTTTAACTTGCAAACCTCCTTAGGAAATGTATTGTTATAGAACCCAGGAGGCTGCATCATATAAATTTCTTCTGATAGCTCACCATTCAGAAAGGCATTGTTTATGTCCAACTGCCTCACTGTCCAATCATGATGAACTGCAAGATTAAGGATAATTTTGATGGTGGAGTGTTTAACCACTGGACTGAAGGTCTCTCTGAAGTCAAAGCCAGCAGCTTGTGAATACCCTTGGGCCACAAGTCTTGCCTTATATCTTGAAATTGTTCCATCAGAGTTCCTTTTGAGTTTGAAAATCCACCTACACCCCACAATGTTTCTGTTTATAGGTGGATCTGTGAGAACCCAAGTATTGTTGTCTATCAAAGCCTTTAACTCTGATTTCATGGCATCCCTCCAATGTGTTGGGATAATAGCTTCATCAAGATTAGTTGGTTCTCTTTCTTGTATATCAACCACAAGAGCTCTGGGTTTGAAAACTCCAGCTTTGGCTCTTGTGACCATGTGATGCCTGTTAGACACTCTCAGTGATCTTGTTGAAGATGAGTTTGGTTCTGGTTCATTGTTCATCTCAATAGGTAAATCCACAACTAAAGGAATTGTACTATGACTAGACTGAGAATTAACATATCTTGGACTATGCAAAGGTTGATTTGAAGGTGAGTGGTTTGGTGAGTTTGTGGTTTCTAATGCAATATTTTGTGAGGGATTTTCAGTATGTGAAGGAGGAGACTGACATTGAACTACATGAGGATTATTAATGCACAGTGGTTGAAAGACATGAGGATTGATATGCTCAGCATTGTTGTTTTTGGTGTAAGGATAGACATTTTCATCAAACAAGACATGTCTTGACACTATGACCTTTCCAGAGGGCAAAAGAATCTTGTAACCTTTGTGAGAGTTACTGAAGCCAATAGAAGTTCCACCAATGGACCTAGGTTCTAGTTTATGTTTATTAAAAGGTCTCAACAATGGAAAAGCAAGGCATCCAAAGGTTTTGAACCTACTGAAGTCAAGATGATGGCTGTAGAGGGCCTCCAAGGGGGTCTTGAACTTCAAGGACTTGGTTGGTAGTCTGTTTATGATGTAGCAAGAGGTTGAAAAAGCATCATCCCAGAATTTTAAGGGCAAAGAAGTTTGGTTAAGTAAGGATAACCCCATTTCAGTGAGGTGTCTATGCTTTCTTTCAGCTGTGCCATTTTGTTGAGGTGTGTGAGGACATGAAACCCTGTGAGTGATTGCATTTTCTTGTAATAAAAGGTGTAAGTGATCTGTACTCACCTCCCCAATCACTTTGAAGGGTTTTAATCTTATGACCAAGCTGAGTCTCAGCCATATTTTTGAAATGAAGGAAAGTGTCATGAACTTCTAATTTCAGTTTTAAGAAATAGATCCAAGAAAATTTGGTGTATTGATCCACAAAGATGACATAATAAACATGACCATTTCTAGACTTTATGGGTGAGGGTCCCCATAAGTCTGAGTGAACTAATTCAAGGGGTGCATTGTATTTAGTTTCTGCGTCTGCAAAAGGCAACCTATGAATCTTAGACACAGCACAAATAGAACACAAACCATTCACTTCATTATTTTCAAAAGGTTGGTTACAAGATTTCAGAACTTTCTTGACAATGTCAAGATTACAATGGCCAAACCTTTTGTGCCACAAATCTAAAGTGGACTGATTCTTAAAACTAGTAAAGAAAACTGAAGGTGGAGATTGAAGTTTGTTGCTAGCTTTTGAGTGATGAGAGGCTGAGTTGGAAAGCTAAAAGTGATAGAGTCCTTGATTAAGATCCCCTTGGAGTAGAACCTCCTGAGTTACTTGGTCCTTCAAAAACAATGAAATGGGTGAAATTCAAAGTATACATTATTATCCAAGGCAAACTTAGACATACTCAAAAGATTTTTGGTGACACTAGGGACATGTAAGAGATCTTTTAAGGCAAAGATTCTACTTGAGTTAAAGGTTTTTTAGATGGGATTTACCTATATGAGAGATATTTTCTCCAGAACCATTTCCCATATGAAGTTTGTTGCCTCCTCCATACTCACTAGCAATGCTCAGATTAGTAAAATCATTGGTCACATGATTAGTAGCACCACTGTCAGGATACCACTGATTGATCTCATTTGAAGCCTCTGATGGAGAGAAGTGTTGAGTTACCATATTGGCTGAAGGACCATTAAAGCCTCTTGCTGAGTTCTCTGGAGCACTACCCATATAGCCATTATCATACCTGTACCAGCACCTCTCTGCAGTGTGGCCAGAAACTCCACAAACTTGACACTGAATTTTTCCTTTTGGAAACCTTCCTCCTCTACCTCTATTAGGGCCTCTTCCTCCTCTTCCTCTGAAGTTTTGGTTGAAGGAAGCTCTACCACCTCTGTTTTGTGGAGCACCTCTGGCAAAGTTTTGAGTCATGGCAGCATTTGCCATAGGATAAGAGCCATCACTATTAACTAGAGGAGAAATGCGGCCAACTGATTTCAATATTGTTTCAAAGCTGAGGAGAAGAGCTTGAAGATCCACAATGGACCATGGTTCAACTCTTGAAGACACAATAACCATGATAAGATTGTATTCTTGTCCCAGACCACTGATAAGATGCATAATCTGATCCTTTTCAGAGACCACATGTACAGCTGCAGCTAAAGAATCAAATAGAGCCTTCATCTTGCTTATGTATTCTTTCATGGCTAAAGATCCCTTCTTTAGACTTTGGATCTCCATTTTGTACTGCATCACCCTTGCTAGTGACTGGCTACTGAAGTTTCTCTGAAGGGCAGACCAAATATCATTGGATGAGCTCAAACCAACCATGAGTGGGAGGATGTTTTGACCAAGAGAATACAGAATCCATGAGGCTAGGAGAAGATCTTGCCTTTGCCATGTGATGTAGTCAGGATTCTGAGAAACTGGTTAAGTTGGATCTGAGGTTAAGAACCTCTATGGTGGTTGGCTGGTTCCATCTATGAACCCTTCGAGGCCATAACCTTTGATGGCCATCTCCACTTGTTGTTTCCAGATGAGAAAGTTTCCATCATCAAGTTTCACTGTCACTAGCTGGTTGTTGGGAGAGATTAGCTGCAATGATTTGGGAGCTGGTGAATCCGTGGTCGAGCTGCTTGCATACATTATAGATTTTTTTTTTTTTACAAAACAATAAAAAGCGAAAAGGATCAGAGTCAGGTATAAACCTGCTCTTATACCATGATAAAAATCATGGTTAGCATTGAATAAATGAATGAAGAAAACAGAAACGATTTCATCAATGCGGCGATATTTGGAGTATCAAAAATTACAGCAAACCCTAGCAGCTAAGGGATATTTATATCAGTGATGGATCCACTAAACTATGGACACTTGTCATGATCTTGCATTGTCTCACATGTTAATCCTATGGTTTTCGTTGATGTCAGATTGCAGCTGTCATTCCCTTTCATTTCATTTGAATCGTGCATGAAGACAAAATGTCTAGCACATGCAGGTCTCGTGCTCCTCTCATGCACAGGTAAGTTCCTTTTACCTTCATGCTCCAAAATGCCTTTTTTTACTGCATGAAGAAGTTGTTATTTCTAACAGTTAGATAGATTTATTGTATAATTTTGTTCGAATACATGTATTTTACCATATCAATCTTCTTCACATTTTTTTTAAACCTACTCGAATGAAGATTAGAATTCATTTTGAATCTTTAAGTTTTTGGTCGATTTTGTATTATTGTTTAACGATTATTATGATTTTTAAAATGAATCATTCGTTTCTTTGCCCGAAAATAAAATTTGTTTATTATCTTTTAGTTTTTTTAAATGTTAGGGATTTTTATGTTTGCTTTATTGAGTTTTTAAGATTCTTCAATATTAGGGTTTTTTGTTGGATTTAGGAATTTTTTGTTCGATTTGCTTAGATTTTTTTGTTAAAAATCTGTTGTTCGATAATCTCTCAATAATTTCAATTTTTCAGTTTTAATTAACATACTTTTTTAAGATTTTTTGTACGAATTGCTTGGATTTTTTTGTTAAAAATCAGTTGCAGATTTGAATTTTTTCCAAAAAATTCACGCGTAAAGCCTCAATTTTTGGGTTGTACAATGTAACAACTCATATGGATTAATGTAATGTAATTTATTACCAGTTATGTGCAACGTACGAGTTGTGTACTAATTTAAATAGACATGTTTTATGTAATTTCGCACAAATTATCATTCATATAACATTTTAAATAAATTAATATAGGGTGCGTAGTACAAATTGAATTCATATTTGTAATTTATTAATATTATTTAATAAACATTTTTTATTTATAATTATTAATAAATATTTCTTACCCGTGCATCGCATAATAAAAATTGTTTAGAATAAGTTCTAAGTCTAAAAAAAAATCCTATATATTTTTAATGCCACATAAAATTATTTGTGCTCAACAAAATAGAGCAATGCACTTATTCTTATGCCTAATGAACATTTCCCACTCGTCCCCATGAGAAAATATCTCACTTTCCCTCTATTAATTCACCCTCCTTTAGCCGTTTTTCACCCGCCACCAACCAAACGCATGACGGGCCACAACAGCTTTGCCGGCAATCCCATGCCCACGGGCTGGGCCGAACTCGACCTGATGCCCGACACACCTACCCAACGGGCCCAACACCGTCGGGCCCACTCCGACACCCTCTTCCGCTTTACAGACCTCGACGTAATCCTCATCGATGACGAGCTGCAGCCGGCTCCCCCATCACTCGTCCCTAACGGGCCGCCTCCGCTGGCCCAGCCCGGTAAGAGTAACGGGTCCATGCTCAGATCCCATATCCGGAGCCTGTCTATGGACGCTGACTTTTTTGAGGGCCTTGGACTGGACGGTCAGCCGTCTCCAGCGCCGGTCGCCACCGGAGATGTAGTTCGGAGGCCCGTGCTCAGGCATAGCAATTCAATGGATGGGTATTGTAGTGCAACGTCAGCCGAGGTGGAGCTTAGCGTAAAGAAGGCCATGGCTGCTGATAAGCTTGCAGATCTTGCTTTGATCGATCCTAAGAGAGCCAAAAGGTTCAATTTTTTTTCTCTATTTGTTTATTTTTCATTTATTTATTTATTTTTACGTTAACTCGTGGCTTAAAAAAAATGGAGTGATTGATATGATCCATTTAGCTTGTTTTTGTAAACTCGTAGCTCATGTCTTGTGATTTTGGCTTGTCAATTGATTATGAAAGTGTTTAATATGATGTAGGATTGTTGCAAATAGACAATCTGCTGCACGCTCGAAAGAGCGGAAGAATCGGTACACGAGCGAGCTCGAGAGGAAAGTGCAGACTCTGCAAACTGAAGCAACCAACCTGTCGGCTCAGATCACCGTGTTGCAGGTGTTTGTATAACCGATCGATTTTAACACTGATTAATTAGGAAAGTTTTTTATATCCTACAGTAACATTTATAATTTTTTTGGTAAGTATTTTTCCACATGATGCAGAGAGATACGAGTGGCTTAACAGCTGAGAACAAAGAACTCAAGCTAAAATTAGAGTCTATGGAGCAGCAGGCACACCTCAGGGAGGGTATGTATATGTCAAAATTTTCCTATAATAATTCGTTTAAGTTCTCATGCATTTGATATTTTCTGATAGAGAGAAAAATTGGTATATGTCAGGGAATTTTTAACCACAAATTGAGACTTTTTTTTTAATGAAATTTGCAGAAGATAAATATATTCTGTTCATTTTGTTAATTTATTTTCAACAAAAATAAAAATAAAATAAAGCATAAACACCAACAGTCACCATACATCCATAGTACATTTTCTGGTCTAGTCATATGTTACCATTCATATATTTAATGGGAGATGCTACGGTCCCACCATTCCGTCAGGTTTATAAACGTCAGATCATCATTAACCGTCGGGGATAGTTGATCTAACAGTTACAAACCCCGACGGAATGGTTCCGTAACAGGACCGTAGCATCTCCCATATTAATATCATATCAACTTTTAGCACCAAACAACTAATTCTCTTCATATATCCTGTCATTCTCAATATATGTTCTCCCTTAAAGCTTTAAAAAAAAATGACAAAAATATATCTTTATTATGTAGCATAAGCATAGTTTCCAAAATGAAAGGATTTATCCAACTTTATTATGTGGTGTGTGCAGCTCTTAACGAAGCACTAAGGAGCGAACTCCAGCATCTGAGGATTGCAGTCGGCCCGCTTCCCGCTGCCAATGGGCCGTCTTCTCAACGCCCATCTCTGCATAACTTCACACTTCAAACCCAGAACAACTCCTGGCCCGATGGACTGAGTTTCGAGGATTTTAATTTTCAGTCCTAGGGTTTAATCAGCTGGATGTTATTCTAAATAGATGCAATTGTAACAAAAGATATGATCTTTTGTATATAGAAAAGATGCATACTATTTGCATGGTATGGAGAGTCATCCCACTTTGTATATCACAAAATAAAGTCAGCATATTGTGTTGATATTTAAATTAAGACTTAGATATGCTGCAAATGATGACTATTAGACTATCTCCAGTGGTATATTGTCTATTTGGAGATTTATAACATGGAGAAAGAAAATTACAATCTTTTGTATACAGTGTTTAATGTCAGTTTTAGTATAATTTGATGTGTGCATGTAAAATTATATTTGGTTGGAGATGAGATATATGCATAATAATTAGTATAATATACATTAGAGGATTTGATGACAACGAGGTTGCATTGACCTTTTTGAAAAAAACACCATTGTCTCCGGGCTTTGGTTTAATAAATTATCTTGTTATTTTCCTACTTATTTTGGTTTAGTAAATAAGTTTATTATTTTCATAGGGAACAAGTCAAGTTTAGGTTGTGTAGAGTCTTATTTAAAGACTCATTTCTTTTATTTATTAGTCAGTTGATGATTGAATATGAAAATGGGTTTCGAGATTGAAATCCCTTTTATCTTTTCCTACTCGTACGCTTCTCTACATTATGATGTTTAGAAGTACTTATATCTTTTAAAAGACTTCTAGAGTTTTTGGATGTCACATGGCAATAAAAAAATAGCAATCCATGGTCCACTGGAGATGCTCTTAATAGTTGAAACGTGAGAATATATATTTGTCAATAACCATGATGTTTAGTTCTTTCTTTTTTAGTACAATACATTAGATAAATTTTCATTTGTAGGCTCAATTGAATAATTCTGAGGTAAATTATTTGTGATGTAGCACAAAGAGAGCATTATGGGTAGACCGACAGAAGTCAACGTGATTTATGAACCGGGGGTATTCATGCGGGCCGGTCGGTTGGTCAGATATAATAATCTGCCAGTGTGCGGCCCAAATATCGGCCAAAAGAGTGGGTCAGGCAGATTGAATAGGTGGGCTGATGTTTAAATGGGCCTGATAATTGTTACATAATCGGATAAGGGGACAGACGTGGAGAGGAAGCAAAGAATCTGCATATAAATAGGTAGGGCAGGTTACAAGGGAGAGGTATGGTGTTTTTTACCGCATAAGAAACCCTAATACAAAAACTGAACTCTCTTCGGTACCCCACTAACTTGAGCGTCGGAGGCTTACCGTCGGGAAGGTCTTTGTAGGTATTTGGAGAGCTTAAGCGGTTGGGTCCAAGGAGAGCCGGTCCAGTGTGCAGAAGCACATCAATTGGCGTCGTCTGTGGGACACCAATTTTTCTATCGATTGAGGAGGCGAAGATGACGAACACGATTGTGGACGAACAATCAAGAAGGAATCTAAACGACAGTTTGGAGGAGGCATGGGTAGCAAAGACTCCTTATGGTGGAGGGCCGCCGAAAGCTGGATGGGTGGCGGGAGAAAGCTCGATGACTATGCCTCATGTTACGATACAAGGGGTACCCCTTGTGAATCAGGAGCAGGGATCGGCAACCCAGGGAGCAGGCCAGGAGATCGTGATACGCGCGTCGGGGCCAGAAGTGGTGCCGGAGGGCTGAGGGCCGTTGATGCAGATGACTAGAGGAGAGTTGTATCGCATTGTCGCGGAGGCGGTAGGCCGGACGTTGGCGGCGCGGGACGCGGCGATGGTGGAGAAGCCTACTGCCATAACAGAAAGGCCACCTGTGGAGGCGGAGCGATCCGTTGAGGTGGTGGAGCGACCCATTGTGGCCGGGGAGCGACTAGCTGCTAGGGTCGAGCAGTATGTCCCCGGGTTGTCCAGGCCTTTAAGGGAAGGTAGTCACCGCAGGGATGAGCAGGAGAAGAGGTCGGTAATATCGCCAATGGTTCCGAGGCCGTCCAGGGATGCGCTGATGGAGCAGATGGCCAATCAGATTAAAGAGCTTCAAGCAAGGGTGGAAGGAAGACGGCATCTCAGGATGCAGGGGCATCCCTTCATCGATGACGTTTTAGGCGCTGATTTGCCTCACAGTTTTAGAGAGCCGAGTATATATTACGATGGGTCCTCAGATC